AGGAATCTAGACAGGTTTAGTTGCTTCTCTGGACCACATGGCCTTTCAATGGGAAAACGAAAATTATAGGTTTCCACGCTTCCAGTCTTCCTGCTTATACACACCTAAAAGATCACTTCTCCCCACTCCTCAAAAAAAAAAAAAAATACACACAAACTTCAAATGTGGCTCTCATTTTGATGAAGCAGGAGAGGTGTGCAGAACAGCAGCAGGTACCTACCCTGGGTCCAAAGCAATCTAACCCTCCACCAGGGCCTGGAGAATCTGCTTATTACAGCCCTTCTGCTATGTGTCTTGGCAGATAACACAGGTGCACTCAGCAAGTCCAGTGTGGCCTACAAGTTCTCACTGAGTCCTCCCAACCCTCTCTACTGGCTCTGTCTCCCTTCATTCTGCCCCAAGTCATAACTTATAGCCTTGCACACACTACCTCTCCTAATTCTGGGAACTTGTGAGGTTCTTCTCTCCATCCAAATGCTCTGATAAATTCCTACTAATCTCTTCAGCATCAAATCAAACATGCATTCTTTCTGAGAAGTGTTCCCCCAATTTACTTAGGTTAACAGTCATGATCTCATTTATGATTCAATGAAATATATGCCCAACTCTATTAAAGACTTTGAAGCAAAGCATGCTAGAATCATTTAAATACTTGTCCATCTCCCCAATAAATCTAAGCTTCTTGATGAGAGGGATGCTATCATATACACGTGAATGTCCCCTCAGTACCTCTCATATGTCAATTTTAAATAAGTAGTGATAATATTGATTAGATAAAAGAGGAATCAGATGGATGGATGAATGAATGAGAAAGGTAGGAAGCTAAGAACTCTGCCTTCTATTCCTTTTTCACCACGGATTTTTAATTTCAGTATTATTTTTTAGTGCAGTCTTAATTTTCCAATGTATACATAATGAGTCTTTTGGTATACAGTTCTATAAGTATGAGCAAATGTGTATATTTATGTGACTACCACCACAATCAGGTCACAGAACAGTTACATCATATTGTAAAATACTCCCATGAAGGCCTTTCTGGTCAAACACTTTCTCTACCCTGGAAACCACATATATTCTCCATATCTTTAGCTTGTCTATCCCATAAGATCATACACATGGAATTATACAATATGTAACTCTTTGAAACCAGCTTATTTCACTCAGCATAATGTCTTTGAAATTCATCTGTGTTGTTGCAAATATCAATAGTACTGAGTAATATTCTATATTATGGATGGAACACAGCTTGTTAATCCATTAATCACTGAAGCATAATTAGGTTTGTTTCCAGTTTCTGGAGATCATTAATAAATCTGCTACTGACATTTGTGTACAGGCATTGTGTGAATATAATTTCTCATTTCTCTAGGTTAAGTATGTAGGAGTGGAACTGCTGAATAATAAAGTGTGTGCAACTTATAAGAAACTATATGCCAAAATATTTTTTTCCAGAATGATTGTACCATTTTACATTCCTGGAAACAATGGTATGAGAGTGTTATTTGCTTACATGCTTGCCAGCAATTGTTGTTGTCAATTTTCCTAATGTTAGTGATTCTTATGGGTATGTGGTGACATATGTTTTGGTTGTTGTGGGGTTTTTTGCTATTGTTGTTGTTTTGTACCAGAGATTAAATCCAGCGGTGCTTAACCACTGAGCCACATCCCCAGCCCTTCTTTATATTTTATTTATAGAAAGAGACTAGCTAAGTTGCCGAGGGTCTTACTAAGTTGTTGAGGCTACCTATGAACTCAAGATCCTCCTGCCTCAACCTCTGGTGCTGCTGTGATTACAGGTGTGTGCCACCATGCCCTGCTCATGTGGTAATTTACATTTCCCTAAGGTCTAATGATGTTGAACATTGTTTCATGTGCTTATCTGTCATCCTTTATCTTCTCTACTAAATGATATGCTCAAATGTTAGCCAATTGTTTAAAAAGTGGTGTTTTGTTTACTTTTTATTCTTATGTTTCGAGAATTCTTGGTATGTCTGGCTATAAGTTCTTTGTTGGATATATATTTGCAAATATTTTTATCCCAGTGTTTTAATGGTTAGTTTTTAAGAGCAAACATTTCTAATTTTGATGAAGCCAATTTTTTATGATGTATTTTATCTATTTTGTTCTTAGCATCTTATCTATACTGGACTCTTTGCCTAATCCAAGGAAATGAAGATTTTTTTTTCCTCCTGTTTTCTTCTAAAATTTTTGTAATTTTATGTTTTATACTTAGATCTATTTTCCATTCTGAGTTAAATTTTGTATAAATTGTAATCATTGTTGAAGTTAATTTTTTCCCTGGATGGTGCCATAATTGTTCCAATACCATTTGCTGGAAATAATAGCCTTTCTCCACTTAAGTAACTATATAATGCAACCTTGCTTAACTCAATTATTAGTTCTAAGAGGGTTTTGTGTAGATTCCATGGTTTTTTTTTTTATAAAAACTATCATCTCTTTGAGAATAACAAGCTTTATTTTTCCCTTTGCAATCGAGATGATTTGCATTTCATTTTTCTTGCTTTATTGCAGTGGCTAGAACTTTCATCATATGGTCGAACAGGAGTGGTAAGAGTGACTATCCCCAGCTTTTTCCTGCTCTTTGGTATCTTATCATTAAGTATGAAGCTATTATAGATCTTTTGTAGAGGACCTTGATCCGAAGTTTCCTTCTATTCCAAGTTTTATTTAAGAAGTTTTTGCTCCAGACATGTCCCCCCATCAAAAACTAGCTGTGTGAATTTCAGAAACTTTGAATTTAAACTCCTTTGTCACATCCTTTCTGTTATGATGAAGTATTGTATATGTATGACTTCATGAGTGTGAGAAAGCATTCAGTACATGCCCCAAAGGAATGAGATAATGCATTTCCTTAGGGGAGGTAAAATAAAATATCTTTGTAAAATAAAATATTTTTTTTGGAAAATATCTAAAAACTGTAATTTTTCTATGTGTATTTTCTAAATAAAGCTGGGAGAGAGACAACTCAGTAGGATGAGAGAAATTCTTTTATCTATTGAAAACCTTACTTTTAAAATCTAAAAAAAAAAAAATGGAACAGAACAAAGTGTAATACCTGATATTTATTCCCATTATATTTCTGACTGATTTTTTTTTCAATTCATGACTTCTAACAATAGGCCAGGCAATGTTCTAAGTGTTCTGAATTTTTTGTCTCACAAAATTTTACAGAGATTCTACACCATAGGCCTTGTGCCCATTTGAGCCAGAATTCTTGAATTTCAGAAAATAAATTTGAGCGTCATGTAAGAAATTACTTTTTCAAATAAACAATAAATAAATGAGCTGCCCAGCAGTAGAAAAGGATGGTTCTTAAGTCTCAAGGAACCTGAAAACACATGGGAAGTTTTGGGAGAAGTTTCCCCCAACTCTGAAAATATGATGACTACTGTACATCACATATATGTGACATATGTGGCTTAAAGGTTGACACAGAAAGCAAAGCCAAGATAAGAGTGCACCCAAAAATGGCCTGTGGGTCTTCTCCTGAGACCAACACTCTGCTCTCTGCTTTCCTGATGGACTCCTCCAACCCCACAGCTCAATCATACTCCTCCATTACTTTCTCAGCAGCAGGAGTCAAATTATACAATTTTTGAATCCAGGCTTTTCTACTCTCACAATAATTGGCTTTAAGTATGTGACCTTATCTTTTTATATCTAAAGAGCTCTGCTGTTGAAAAAAACAAGTTAAAAAGAGTTTGGGTCATAGCTGCCTACCTTAAAGACTATACTTATTTAAGGATTAAAAGACAGAAAGGAAAGTGGAAGGGAGGGAGAATGGGAGATAGGCAGAGTGTCAGATACATAGTAACAGGTACTGATTTCCTTCAGACTCTGAAAAGAAAAGAAAAAAAAAAGCATATGCAACATATTTGCCAAATGTCTGTTTTGGGCATGCATCTATGGTTGGCCTGGAATGGAATTCTCCTGGAGGGAGCACACATGGTTTTACTTAATGTATTCTGAATGATACAGCAACACCCACAGCCAGGTCAAAGCAGAAATCTTCTTACAAGATTTGTACGTTTCCTAGTTTCTCTTAAAAGTCCTTTTCTATTTAGTCAACCCAGAACCTTGTGAGCTGAATTGGGCTAAAGGAATGTTCTCAGATCACAGAGGAAGTTACAGCCCAGAGAGGTTAGGGAATTTTCTCCTGGTCTCAACAGCTACAAAGTGGCAAAGCCCACTTATTAGATTATTTGATTCTATTTTTATCCTTGGAGATGCTAATTATATTTTCATATATTTTTTTAAGTTGGTTTTATTTTTCCTTTGATAATGAAGAGTCCTACAATTATGATCATTTCCAGGAGGAGTGAAATGTTGGTACAAAATAATGCTTTTTCAGCTAAATTCTGTGTAAGAAGTCTACAGCCACACAAGACAGCAAGGAGGTCATTTGTTTGAAATCTCAGTGTTCCATGGCTAGAAAAGAGATCTTTATCTGTAGGGACAATACAAGCCTTGCTTACCTCTGTGTCTCCAGGGCCTAGAGCAATGCCTGACACATAGTAGGTCATCCCTAAAAATCTGCTGCATGGATGAAAGAGCCCTTTTGCAAATAATTGCTTGGTTACTTTTTCTGGTAAGCCTGACCCCCTAAAAGGAATTGTTTATTTAAATCAAGCAGCCCCTGCAATTCACCATGTGGATGTAAAATACCTGTAATGAGCTACAGACATCTCTGTTCAAATTACACTAAAAGATGCCAAGGAAATTACTAACAGGAGTCTCAAAATTCATCACATTAACTCACATCCCCAGAAAATTCATTCCTGAGGGTTTATTTCAATGAAATGTCTCCCTTGGGACTGGAAGTCTCTTCCCCCACTCTGGGAAATAAGGATGGATGTGGCATTAATGGAGCTAGGGGCTTTTCATCTTCCCAAACCATTAAAATGCAAATTGGGGGAGGAGAGAGACCTGCAGGCAGATCTGGGGGGGGGGGGGGGGAGCCGGAGCTGCGGGGCACTCACATCCGTCAGCAGTCCGCACCTCCATGTGCACCAGGTCCGCCTCCTTATCCAGTCCAGCCACCGACCTGGGGAAGGAAGGGAGAGATAGAGGCTCAGTAAGGATGGGGACAGCAGCCGACAAAGTGGAAGTACCTGGGGTCCTTACTTGGCATTCGGCTCTCTAAAACAGGACTGTCCTGCACCATGGGAGCTCAGGCAACACAGCAGTGTGGCTGGCCTTAGAAACTTGTCACCTGTAATGGTCATAATGCCTGAGTCCTAGGTAGTGTTAGTGAGTTAAAAACTCAAGGAAACAAAAAAAGAAGAAGGAGGAGGTGGTGATGATGATGATGATGGAGGAGGAGGAGGAGGAGGAGGAGGAGGAGGAGGAGGAGGAGGAGACGACAGACTCCACTGATGGTGGTCTAAACCTCTGTCCTTGGCCCTTCTCCACCACCCACCCCCTTCTGTGAGGTCCTCTTTTCTCCTTGGTCTTGACACTCCTGATTACCTCCACACTGTTTCCTGCCCTGTTCTGTGGGTTTCAATGTGTGCCCTCCTGATTTGATCCCATTTACCCTTCCTCTCTCCTTTCTTGCAAACAACAACATTTAAACCTGGTCTGGCAGAGACAGAATTCTCCCAGTAACTGGATTGAGAAAACTTAGTGATCTCTGGCCAATAGCTAGAAGAAGGAAGGCTGAGAATCCCTACAAATAACCTTGTGGATCTCTAAACTTCCCCATTAAAAGCCCAAGTAGCTGTCTCCCACCTTAGGTATGCAGCCACAGTGAGGCCCAGAAAGTCAACTAAAAGTGCCCACAGGCATTACCCCATCGTGTGCTAAAGAGCACATTCTCTCCAGCAAGCTCAGCTCATAGTCTATTTATTCCTATTTTAAACACCATCTTAAGATTGGTTTCCTGGATTGCCAGAACTCAGTAGGTAGAAAACAGCAAGTTAGAAATCAAGTAGATTAATGGTGAGAATCAACAACTGATACCTAGGTGGCAAGACAAATAGAAAATAGATGAGATACAGACCTAAGAACTCCAAGCCCAATCTTCCACACCATAAACACCTACACTTCTCAATAGCCCTGGGCATTACTATATTAGAGCATGGTTCAGGGTCTGACATCTATGGCAAGGAATTGAAGGCACAGAGAAAAAAGGAGTGGGGGCTAGCGATATCCACCCATGCTCTCTGTTTAAGAAACCAGGTTGGCGAATGATATCTTTTAAAGGGAAAAAGATCATTTTCTGTTAAAATGACGATGTCTTGAAAGATCATACTTCAGTCATCTAAAAAGTTTACTTATACAAATTACTTTTTTCTGGGCTGGGATGTGGCTCAAGCGGTAGCGCGCTCGCCTGGCATGCGTGCGGCCCAGGTTCAATCCTCAGCACCACATACAAACAAAGATGTTGTGTCTGCAAAAAACTAAACAAATAAATAAATTCTTTCTCTCTTAAAAAAAAAAAACAAATTACTTTTTTCCCCTAAAGAAGCTGAATAAATGAGGCGTTACTCTAATGGGTTATTTTTCCCAATGGTCATTGACACACTATCTTTTTGTTTTTCTTTACCTCATTGGATCCTAACAGCAAACCCCTAAGGTAAGGAGAGCAGGTATCATTAGACATATTTGACTGGAGGAGAAACTGAGGCGTGGAGAAGTTTATGTTTGTCTAATGTCACACGGAGATTAGTTCAGAAATAGACAGATGTCTTGACTTCCTGTCCCAGAGCAGCTCTGATGTGCGCCTTATCTTACCATCTCCTTCCTGCTTTTCTCCAGCCAAGTCTCAGATCTCCTTCTGAGCAAGCCCGGCCTCACCCCTGCAGCAGTCCTGCCTTCCCTCATCTCACTCACGAGCCTTTCTCTGCGAAACCATGGCATCCTTACCTCAGTGGTCCTCCCACTTGGCTGCCCATGAGAACCACTAGTAGGGGGGCTTTGAAATATACTGATGCCTGGTCCGCCTCCCTAGATCAAGAAAGCTAGAACCTGTGAGGACAGAGCCAGGCCATCAGTGTTCTTTTAAATCTCCATGGGAATTTCCATGTGCAGCCAAGTTTGAGGATCTTTGTTTGCATAAGTCAATCATATCCCTTATGTTATTTCCATTTCTGTCTTTCCTACTTAGATATAAATCTTAAAGAGGTAGGACCCTGGCTTATTTATCTTGGAAACATTGACACTAACATGCCTTGTACCTATTATGTGCTCCCTGTGTTGACTAATGTAACAACTCAGTCTCCCTGTGTCGAGGCCAAAATTCCTATGTGAAACTCACTTGAGGTCAGACACACAGGGACAGAGGGCACCAGAAAGGACTATACTGACACTTCCTCTGCTCAGCAGTCTCCTGTTTCTTTATGAAAGAGTTGGTTTTCTCAGGATTACAGGCTTCTCGGTTGTCATTCTTCTACCCTTTCCCCATGACCACAGGCAGGGTGGCATGGACACAGTTGGAACCATAATGGCTCAGCCTGACTGTGGTCATCAAATGCTGTGCTCTGCTAATAAAGGAAGAAAGTCCTTGCCTCTGCAGAGCTTGAAAAAAGGCAAATAAACCAGAGAAGTGGTTCTCTTATTCAGGTCTTCTCACTCCCTCCCATCTAACTAAATCCTACTCAACCTCAAGTCTGTACCAAGAATCAAGTTCTCCTGGAAGCTCTCCTAGATGACAACAGCTCACGTTCACCTCTCTCCTTCACACATGCAGAGAACTCAGAGTCTTGATGGTGCACCCTCCCACAGTTACACGGTGATGAAACTGGTCTCCCCTTGAGCTGAGCTTGGCTCACTAGAATGAACACCTGTGGTTTTGTTGGCTCAATGCCCTTTCCCTCCCATCCTGTATGTTCTACCCACTCAATTTGTGCTTTGGCTAGTTTGGCCTAGCTCAGTGGCCCAACCCTCTGCACCCCTAGGATGTCCTGTGATTCCTCATGACCATGAGGTAGGTGGGCTTGAGAAATCAGGACATGTCAGGAAAACTGAGATCTCCATGGGATTCCTCCAATTGCAGGAGAGAGGAAAGAATTCTATTTCTTCTCTGGTTACCCCGACAAATGTTTCCAGTCCAATAGGAAGACCAAGTCTAAAAGAATGATGTGGACATACAGGGACAAAGAGAACGGACAGTGGGTAAGAGACAGGGAGAGGAGATGAAATGAGGACTGTGGTCAAGACAAGAAGTAGAGAAACAAAAACACAAACCAAGATACAGAAAGAAACAGAACAGTACATAGGTACATACACACACACACACCTTAGAGATCACACAAATGGAAGCATGCTGAGAAATAGATGGATATACAGGTAGGTACCATCGAGAGCCTTCAGATCTGAATCCATTCATGTCCAGCCCACCCAGATGGAGCAGCTTGCTTGGACACAAGAGTCAACAGGCTGCTTTATGGATGAGGGTGTTAGTGCATTTATTTGTTTACACCATCAGTTGCAAATATAATAGCTCATTGATATGCAGTCCATTAGACAGTAAGCTTCCTGAAGGCAGGGAGTATATTTCTCCAACGGTTGCTACATCACACAGCTCAAGATTAGGCATTTCTTTGGATTGAATGATAGGAGTAAGAAATCTCAAAGCAATTCTGTCTCTGGGTCCACAGGGGAAGAAATATGCCAATCAGAGAGGTAACAAAATAACTTAGATATCTAGGGAAGGAGAACATTCTTCCCCATACTCAGAGCTGTGGCCCACAGACCCTCATCCAGCACAGAGATGGCACTGCCCACTTGGAAGTACTGGCAGCAGTAGCCTTGAGTTATCAATGTTATCACTGTTGACATTTTTGCCCAGATAATTCTTCCTTGTTGGGGCTGTTCTGTGCATCACAAAATATTTAGCAGTAACCCAGGTCTCTACTAGATATAGTAGCATTCTTGCAGTCATGACAACCTGAAGTGCCTCTAGACATTGCTAAGTATCTCCTATTGGGGGAAAAAATCACAGCTTTACCTGGATACATTTAATCACTGCCTGGACTCTATGCAGTCCCTGCTAACAAGGTAGCAAATAAGCATTCAGAAACTGCACTTCCTCTCCCAGTATAAACACCAATGCTGCAGAGAAGCCCATCAACTACTGATTTTCTGGACCACACTATGGCATCAAGAAACTACCTGACACTCATCAAGCAGAAACAATCAGGTCCAAAACCTTAAAGCCCTTAATTCTGGAAACTTACTGTAAGAAATATGTACACACACACAGACCAATCAAAGAAACACACGATAGAAATATTTGGTGGGTTTTTGTGGGGTGGGGAAGGGGAGAAGTTAGAAGGGATACACTTGTAGAAATGTTTGGGAAAGTGCATATAATAATGATGACAAATGCTAATGGGTATTGAGACCATTTCTGTGTCAGGCATTGTGTTTAGTATTTATAAGCATTATCTTAATTAATCCTCAAAATGAGTTTTTAAGGAAGGTACCATTTATCTAATTTTCCTCCTTGGTAAAATGAGGATAATAAGAGAGATTAAGTAATGTGCCTAAAGCCACATGATAATAACAGTTCTCAGATACTGAGAGTACACCATGTTCCAAGGCACTATTTTACATACAGATGCTGATCTCTTTTAATCCTTACATCAACTATGAGTTAGAAATCAATCTTTCCCCCTATTTTAAAAGGGCATAATCAGCCATAGAGAGCTTAAGCTACTTGCTCAAAGTCACGTAGCTAAGAAGCAGTAAAATTAGGATTTGAACAGAGTGGGTGGCTTGGAGCCAGGTGCTTAACTTTCCCTGTAAACTGTCCCACCCATGATGAAGAATTGGATTTGGGTCCATACATCCTTCCCAGAGTTGAGGATCCCATCAACATGCCTCTTGTCCGCTTCCCTCAAACCAGAGTCCCTCATAGCAGCACCGTAAGGAATACGAGGGCATTTTGTACATGTTTTCAAAATCACGGAACACCTTGGTTCTCACTACAGCAATTGAGAGTCACTCATATTGGTGATAATTGGTGAAAAGGGAAAGTTGGGAATAGAAAAAGAGATTGGGTCAATGGTAAAAGAGTAGTGAGTAGAGATTTTTGCAAAG